TACCACTTATCTGATTTTAGAAGATGCAGTCCCTCTTGACTTCAAGTGGATTTGTGAAATAAAGACCTCTTTTTGCTAGTCTTTTTTTCCCATTAATTTGTTTTAAAATATAAGAATGTGTAATTATTAGAAGATGGTATATGTCAGGTTTTTCTTTTCAAGATGGAAGGGAATTGGGAAAGCTATACTTTTATATTATGCCTGAATGTATTTTTTTTGAGATTCTATCAGATATTCTTGCTACAACTTACTGGACTCAATGATCTTAAGGTAATTTCCAACCTAAATGATTCTATGATTGTATATGAATCCGTATGGGTGTATATATACATATACATACACATTGAAAGTGCATGTTATTACCGGTCACTTTTTACACTGACTACTTTTCAGTTTTAATATTTAACTGGAAATGTTTAATTCTTTTTAAGTAAGCATTTTGTATTAGCAGTACAATTCATGTAATAGAGACTGAGAAGCATAGGTACTCAAATATCTGCTTATTTCTAGGCATTGTTTGTTTTCAAGTAGGAAAAGGATGAGTTATAAGAATGCCAGTTCTATAGGACAGATCAGGCTGATAAGGCTGGGGGTCCTATTCAAAAACTTTTTGAGAGGTGAGCTTTAAATATGTGGAAGCTGTTTGTATGGCTCCAGGATGCAGACATTCAGAATTTATATAAGCATTGTAAATTTTTCAGTAAATGAACTTCCATACTGATAGAAGAGAAATGGTCTTTATTTGTAATCAAATTGAGTATTAAAAATTGGCCATAGAAATATGGTTGAATTTTAATACTTAAATGGCACTTGAAAAATTAACCACAGAATCTCAGAATATTTTTTCTACATCGTTTCAGTAAAATGTCATACTATGTATAAATTAGCAAAAGAAGTTACAAAATAAAAATCAAGGAGGAAAATACTTACAGCCCTTATTGTTCTCTGATATGCCCTGCAAGTTGTTCATCTTGTTAGTCAGAAAACACTATAAAATATGTCTGGAATTAATTTAAATTATTTATTTTAATTAGAAAAGTGCAGGAGGGGGAAGAAATTGTCCTCTTTTATGCATAAAATATATTTACATGTCTAATTTCCATTATCAGTGATCGAGAAAGGAATCATAATAATTATTTCATTGTAATGATTTTCTCCAAACTTCGTTGCTACTCTCATTTAAAATCAATAATAATGTTTCCAGATTAACACTGTACTCATTTAATATACTGAGGCCCTGGAGGTAGGGGACATTTACATGGCAGCTCTTGAGTGATTTCACTTGCTAATTCTGCCAGTAAAATCAGATGATCTCCCAAATGGGGAGAACTAATTAAAAATTAGATGTCTTTTTGACTTTTTCACTTAGAGTAAAACCTCAGAACTAGAATGTCACAGTCATTCTGTAGGGAGGATTTGTCAAATCTCTTTTCTTTTGGGCTGTCGAGCTTCTGGAAATGTAAAGTTAACATCTTCAATCCACAGTTTGAATCCTCATGATATAAGTAAGTTTTACACAAAAATGAAGGAAAGTCCATGTACTTATGTGTCTTAAGACTCTCTAGGAAACAGGTGAATCAGAAAGATTGAAAACAGAGAGAAAAGCATTGCAAAACTGCTTCACATTGAATAATTCAGCTTTTCTTTAATAGAGGAACTCAGACATGTTCATACAATGCATGTGACACCACATCTAACAGTAACAGTTTCTTAAACTTTCTGACAGGTGTAGAACATTTGTTGACTGTTTAATTGACTTTATACATAATCTCTGTAGAAGGTGGCCCCCAATGCTGAGAAAACACTTCATATTTTCATGGGTTTGTTCCATATCATGGCCTCGAGCTAATTCATAGAGCAAGTCCCAGCTGGAATCTAAATAAATGTAAAAAGAACCTGTCAGCCATTTACAGATCTTGTAAGCCAAATATCAGGAAGTAAAGAAAAACAGATGTCATGATAGAAACAGAGCAAAACCAGCCATCAGGAGCAAGAAAGGACACTTTTGAGAAATGCACATCCTGCTTGTTTTATTTTAATCTTCTTTGAGTTTGTTCATAAAATTATAACCAAGAAATGCATAAATATGATGATTGTTTATATTAAGATAGAAACATTATACCAAGAATCTATTGAGTAGTTTTATCATGCTCAAATCAAATCCTAGCAAGAATTTTCCCCTATATATATAAACCATCTGATATGCTTAAAAATTAAAAAATGTCATTGAGCACTGAATTTGTCCAGCTCAATCTTACCCCTGAAAAATAGCCAAGATATTTGGCTATTTGGCTAATTGAATTATCTGCAAAATAGTTAATGATACTAGTAACTTTAACAATATATAACCTCTTGTCCTGGCTTTAGCTCTGGCTGCTAAGACTTTGTTCTAAAGCACTTTTTTAGACTGTCTCAAAAAGTGAAAGTTTGGTGCTTTAAGGAAAGTTATGTGTTTAGAGAAGAAGAAAAAAACAAGAAAAAAACAATCCTTCCTTTTCAGATCAGGAAGTAACTAGTGTAAAAGTCAATAAAAACAGTTAACCTGGCTACTGTGAGGAAGAAGTTTGTATTTCACACATAGGAGAAACAATGAAAAAGATCATCCACTAAGAAAGTCTTAAATCCTAGCAGCAAAGTATGAGAGTAAGCTCTGAAAAAAAGAGGAGAGAAAGAAAAAAGAAAGGAAGATCTGATGTTAAATGTTAATATATCAGACCTTAGTGGCGGGTTTGGGTGGCTGGGAGCTGCAGGGTGCTCCGAATGGAGGAGATCCTGAGGGTCCAGTTGATTCTGACACTGCCAAAAATATTCCATTTCACCCCAAACTGCACCAGGCAGGGGAGCCCCATGTGCTCTGTCTCACATGTATTTAGGAATAAAGGGGCATCTATGAGGCACAGGAGACACATCAGGGAGAAACACTTTGGGAGACTTAGGGGAAGAACTACACAGGGAAACACGTAGAGGAGAGGCAGTTGGGGAGACACATGGGGATAGACTCTTGGAGAGACAGGAGAGACTGGGCACTTGTGGATACCGGTGTAGAGGCTGTGCAAGGTGCTGTTGGAGACATGCAGATAGATTCCCAGATTCCCAGGGTGCACAAGGAGAGGCCCCAAGTCCCTGATGGAACTGCAGAAGGCGGCACCAAAGTGACACCCAGAGGAGCCCACAGCCCAGCTCCCTGATCACAGACCATACTGCTGTGACAACTTTGTAAAAGTGCACATGTATCTGTGATTAAAGTGTTTTGTATCTGCCAATGTTATCTCAAATTGTGACATTCCAGAGATTTGATTCCAAAGCTCTATAGGCACCATGGCTTTTTATTACCAGCTAGTATGCAATTATCAACACCTTCATCACTGCCATATAGAACAGTATTAATTCACAAAATGAAGAAAAAAAACAAAGCAAACTAAAACATATGGGGTACAGGTTCAATAATTCTATTATTATTTGCAAAGGGATTTTTTTGAGCAACCCTATTTTCAGTATGCAATTCTGTCCCTTCAGCTTGAGAAATCAAAGAACAGTCTGTCTGGAAAGTAGAGGGTAAAACAGGCAGAAAAAAAAGTCTGATAAACCATATTAACAAGTTATAAATTTCTTTCACTCCAATATGCACATTGAACAAAATACCTCTCAAAACAGCATTCAAAATTATGTTTAAAATAACAAAATACAAAGTAATTAACATATCGTATCCAACTGTAGTATTTTAATATGAGGCATTAGAGGGAAATTGATTAATATTTCTTTTGACATTAGTTCATAGCTAAAGGCATGCCAGCATAACCCATAAAAAAGGAAAAATTACATGTCTTCTTTAATTTACTGTTGTCCTATATATCTGAAATACTTGATTTTATGGGCCCTTTTTTGTTACCTAATCTTTTACAGAACTTTCATCTGACTTCAGTGGTAACAGAATAGGATGTAAAGCCAGTGTACCTTACCTAAGATATTTTCTTAGAAAATAGATTTTTTTAGTTTTTTAAAAATGTAATTACATATTAAAACATGATAAACAACATTATTTATCAATAATAGCAAAATTAATTAATCATATATTGTAGAAGAACCATTCCTTTGGTTCTATGCACTAATGTTTGAAACAATGTAAATCCCTTTCCCAGTTCTGTTCAAAAACAGGAGTAAGCACTGGCCAACATTTCACCAAAAATATTTTTTAAAGAGAATTCATATTCATTTTAAGTTCATGTTAGTATTTGGTGAAAGGCTTATAAAGATTTACAAAAATAAAAATTAATAATTCCATAAGTCTCATTTTACTCCTGTGAAAAGTCCAGTTCTAGAGCATTCATAAAATTTTATGTTAATTTTAGCAAATGTTGGGGACATAACTACCAAAACTTATAAAATATTTTGAAAATTAGAAAAATGATGAATAGCAGCAAATGAATGCCCACTCATACATTTTCAAACTTTTAATATCTTATCTTTTCTTGAATAGTTTTTTAATACAGGCCCTAGGCTGAATAACTGTTCATAAGGTTGCTTCTCTTTATCAGTTATGTGTTAAAAGAGTCTGCTTGCAAAACAGATTTTATTTGCCAGGTCTCGTCTCTTCCATATCAGACACTATCATGGACTGCTGATTTACCCCATAAAAAGGAAAGTGGAGAGGATGTCAAGGCAGCAATCAAGACACTGTATACTTTAAACACACTGTAGTCTGTTTATGCTAGCAGGGTTATTCATTTAAGGGACTCTGCTTGATCTTGCATTTATCAAATCCATTAGGAAGGATTGCTCAGAATCTTTTCTGCATGAACTTCCAAGTCTGCATTAGTAAGAACAGAGGTTATTTCAAATGTGACTTTTCAACTAATGCTCTGTAGCTCATAATTGTAAAACTAGTGGAGGAAGTGACTAAGGATCATTGTTCTGTATCCTCAGACAGAGCACTGAAATGAAGAATGGAAGTCATATGCTTCTTAGAAATGCTGTATAACAGTTGTAACACTGGAAGAGAGAGACAGTGTGGGAGTTAAAAAGAGAACTAGGTTAAATTATAGAAAGATACTATTTCTAATAACATTAGAATTTTTTAATATCTTATAAATATAAAATATTTTATATTTTTTATTTCTCTATTATTTCACACTATCAAAACAGAAAGCTATCACTCAATGCTTCTCTCTCTTCTTAATTCTTTCTACCCTTATTTCTTGGGAGACATCATTAATACAAGACCTGAATATCATATAAGGGAATAACAATATTATCTTCCAGAATACAGTAATATAAAGGGAACAAAATTTAGTGGGGTCATGTGTATAGGAACTTAGAGAGTGAGTTTTTACTACATTAACTAAAAGCTAATCAGTAGATTATTACTTCAGTGACAATGACTGTACTCTGCCAAATTAATAGAGAATTGGAAAAATTGAAGGGAAAGTGTAAAATGTACACAGTAGGTATTAGAATTATTATACAAACATTTAGAACAGAATAAAATAGAATAAAATACCCAATTTCAGTTGAAAGGGACCTACAACAGTCATCTAGTCCAATTGCCTGACCACTACAGGGCTGAACAAAAGTTAAAGCGTGTTATTAAGGGCATTGTTCATATGCTTCTTAAACACTGACAAGCTTGGGTCATCAACTGCCTCACTAAGGAGCCTGTTCTAGGGTTTGACTACCCTATTGGTAAAGAAATGCTTCCTATCACTAAATACCAAGAAGAGCTCAGCACCTCCCCCTCTGCTTACCCTCCTCAGGAAGCTGTACAGAGCCATGAGGTCATCTTTTCAACCTCCTTTTCTCCAAACTAGACAAACACAAGGTCCTCATCTACTCCTCATAGAACATTCCTTCCAACTCCTCTGGTTGCACCTTAACACTGTGTGGCCCAGAACTGCAGGTGAGGCCACACCAATGCTGAATACAATAGGATAATGAACTCTTTTGACTGGCTGGTTATGCTTTGTCTGATGCACCCCAGGATGCATTTCGCCATCTTGCCTGCCAGGACACGCTGCTGGCTCCTGTTGGTCCTGCTGTCAATTGCCCCCCCCCCAGATCCTTTTATGCAGGGCTACCTTCCAGCCACTCTTCTTCCAATGTCTACTCGCGCCCAGTATCACTCCATCCTATGTGCCCAGGATGGGGACCCCTGGTGGTCTAGTGGTTAGGATGCGGCGCTCTCACCCCCACTGCCCGGGTTCGATTCCTGGTCAGGGACACTCCCCTGGGCAGATGGAGCTCGTCAGCCCTGTAAGGCCATCCATCTATGAGAAGGTCACTTTAAACAAACCTACGTCCTGAGGACCTCACTGCCATTGTCCAAGCTCGCTTGGCCCCGACAGATGAACCTTAGGATTAAAGGGTGGGCTCAGTTCAGCGCATGCTGTGTCTCACCTAAAAAATCCATTGCGCAGGCTGGAAAGGTAAAAGACCTTTCCCCAAATCTTTGTTCACGAAGACTGGCCATACATGTGCCCAGGATTACTTGATCCTAGATGCAAAATCCAGCATTTGGATTTATTGCCTCGTCTCATTAAACATGCAGAAATGATACAATCTATCCAGATCCCTCGACAAGACATCCTGTCCTGCGAGGGAGTGAAGGGGACAAAAGCCAGCTCTCAGCAAAAGGAGGCTCAGTGAATCTGAATCACAAACCTTGGAAGACAAGGCTGGCAAACACCTCGTGATTCAAGAAGTTTGGACCCCTGTCCTGAGACCTGCTAATGTGCAACTCGGAGATATAAACCTGGCTCCAAGAAGAATTAAGAAAGGACTTTTTGAGATGATTGTTAAAACCATGTCTAAACTCCTGTAATCCCTCTATCCCCCATGTAATCCTACTAGAAGAAAAATTAACTATTTGGAAACTGCAGCAAAAATTTGTGCAACTCCCCAATCAACATAGGTTGTCCCCTTCATTAACATGTCCAGCCCCAGATGCCTTTAAATTGTGTTCTCGTGTTCAATAAAGTATTCCAGTTTCCCCATACTGGAATCGTGTCTAGGTTTTATTTTTCAGACCACCACTAGGGAGTCAACAGCACCTCCCAGTTTATGAGTCATAGTCTGCAATACAACTGATAACTCTGGTTTTCCATGTAAGAAAAAATAAATTTGTAAGATATTTGGAGAAAGCTGGCTTGAGTAATTAGGAGACTATAAAACTTATATTGGGAATAGCAGCTACAAGAGCTACTAGCACTGTTAAACCAGATAAAATGAAGCTTGAAAAGACAGTAGTAAAAGGTAGAGCATAAAAATAAGAGTTATTAAGGGTACAGGATAAATGTTGGTTCAAGACCAAATGGGCATAAAATGACTATGAATAAAGTTAACATCTAAATTTGAACTTTCATTTAATAGCAGAATTGTTGAGATAAAAAATGGCCTATTTTAAATTGGTACTTGCTTCACATAAAGAGATCATCTTGAGTGCCATCATGTGGCATGTACATGACAACCAGGTGATCAGGTCTAGCCAACAGGGGTTTAGGAAAGGCAGGTCCTGCTTGACCAAGCTGATCTCTTTCTATGACAAGGGGACCTACTTAGTAGGTGAGGGAGTGGTTGTGACTGTTGTCTACCTGGATGCAGCATTCTCTTGGAGAAACTGGCTGCTCATGGCTTGGACAGGTACATACTTTGCTGGTAAAAACCTGCCTGGATGGCCAAGGCCAGAGAGTGGTGGTGAATGGAACTAAATCCAGCTGGCGGCTGGTCACCAGTGGTATTTCCCAGTGTTTAGTGCTGGGACCAGTTCTGTTTAATATCTTTATCAATGATCTTGATGAGGGGATCAAGTGCATGCTCAGTCAGTTTGCAGGTCACACCAAGCTGTGCAGGAGTGTTTATCTGCTGGAGGGTAGGAAGGCACTACAGAGGGACCTGGACAGGCTGGATCCATGGGCAAAGGCAAATTATATGAGGTTCAATAAGACCAAGTTCCGGGTGCTGTACCTGGGTTACAACAATCCCATGCAGCACTACACGCTGGGGGAAGGGTGGCTGGAAAGATGCCCATTAGAAAAGGACCTGGGGGAATGGTCGACAGCCAGCAGAACATGAGCCATCAGTGTGCCTAGGTGGCCAAGGAGGCCAATGGCATCCTGGCTTGTATCAGAAATAGTGTGGCCAGCAGGACTAGGGCAGTGATCATACCCCTGTACTCAGCACTGGTGAGGCCACACCTCGAATACAGTTTTGGGCCCTTGTGATGTGCTTTTCCTCACCCCAGCTTAAGGTATAACCACCAGTGGGGGCCATGATGGCTGCATCCACTTTACTCTGGTCTTTGGGGATTGATGGCAACATGGTAGCCAGGGGCTGTCTGGAGACAGTGACCCAGCCATGTTGTTGGTATGCAAATATGACTGTAAGTCAATGATTACTCTATAAATACTAGACAACTGTGGTGAGGGAAAAAAGTTTTCCCCCTGGAGTTAAAAATTGGTAACCCCGAGGGGGTGGTGACCCTTGGGGTTGAGCCAATGAGCGCTCCTGCTAAATATAAACATATTAACAACCAGACCAGAAAAGAAGGGTAGATGTAGTGGTTGTTGGAGAGAGTGGCCATGTTGTGAAAGCCACGAGCTGAAGGGGCAAGAGCCCCTTTGGGGGGCCATGGCCCCCCAGCCCCTGGCTGTGGTCATAGAAACTCGGAAACAGTGTTAAACTGGACTGAGGTCTGTGACTGAGAAGCTGGGAGTCTTTCTCCACTGGGAGTAGGCAGCAGGAGCAGCGGCGGCAGAGCAGCAGTGAACGGAGAAACTATGGCAGAAGGCCAAGCAGATAAGAAGCAAGCAGCAGAGACAGCATGCAGCCAAGACAGGCGGAGAGAACTCCTGCAAGGAGAGAGAGAGAGAGAGAGAGAGAGAGAGAACTAATCTCTACGGACAGAGTTTTGGGGTAAGAACCGAAACAAACTCCCCAAAACCCCTTGGAGACCCTTCCTAGAGAGGAGAGGTGGTGGACTTCTTCTTGAGAGGAGTCTTGGAGTGCAGCATGCACCGGAGAGAGGAGCTAATAAGCTCAAGGCGTCCCGGAGCTGGACCGGGACAGCCAGAAGGAATGCGGAGGGGGTGACATTGTGTCCCCCCCCCCGCTGCTGTTGCTAAGCTGGCAGCCTGAGACAGAGCACAGGAGCTCTGATAGAGCTCTTGAGGCAAAGGTTTTCAACTGAAAGCTACCCGAGATGCTGTGACTCAGGGGTGAATCCCCTGAGGAAGGGACCTTCATGGGATGTCTTACACCCCATGATATGACATGGTGAGGCAAGCCTTGTCCCTGCTACGCAGTCCACGGAAGAGAAAGACCCTCGCTTGGAGTCGAAGGGCTGAGAGGGGCTTGGAGACCCCCTCGTGTGTAATGGAAAGAGATCCAGCTACAGCTGCTGCATGGAAGAAGAGAGACTGTTGCCCTAGAGACACTGCTGCTCGGAGAGTGGAAAAGATCTTTCCTTTTCCCTGCTGGACTTTTATTGGAGAGAGAAGAGATTGATCCTTTGTAAATACTGATTTATTACAGAAGAGATAGTTAAGATTGTATATGATGTATTATAATATTTATTTGTAAAGTGTTTGTAATATAATTCCCTTTCCCCCCATATTGAGTCTTGTGTTTGTGTCTGGAAAACCCATCTCACACTGGGTTGAGATGTGAGAGGGGGGCTTGGACTCGAGAATTGGATTTTAAGGGTCTCAAACCATGACAACAGCTCAGGGGTCGTTGAGCTCTCCTGCACAGCCATGGGCTGCACACCAGGATCTCCCCTTGAGTATGGATGCCTCTCAAGGTTACTCCTTGAGGCTGAGAGATTCCTTACCGCAACAGATCCTCTGTAACAGATTAAGAACATGTTAAACTTTGAAATCTTAGCTAAGTTATATAAAGGATTGATTGTGCACATATAATCCTTTAGACATAAGCCGTTGACCAAGTTTGGGACAAGGGTTGGATCCAGCCACACCTTGACCCCTCTCTGAGAAGGAATTTAGCAAGCAAGGGGGTTCCTTCTAGAACCTCATGACTTAATGGGAGGGTCTCCCTGGTAGTTTCATCTGACCCTGCCCTCTATGCAGTAAATAATCAAGTGTACTGTGTCATCGAATCTCATTAAACCTCTGTCTCATTTACCGTTAAAGTTGTTCAACTCACTGTTTTATATCAATAAAGTATATTGTTGCTTCACTCTTATGAGTGAAGTACATCACTCCCTCTATGAAAGCCCCTCACTACAAAAAAAAACATTGAGATGCCTAAGCATGTCCAGAGAAGGGCAATGAAGCTGGTGACGGGGCTGGAGCACAGGTCTTATGAGGAGCATCTGAGAGAGCTGGGGTTGTTTAGCCTTGAGAAAAGGAGGTTCGGTGGAGACCTTATTGCTCTACATCTAAAAGGAGATTGTAGTGAGGTGGGGATTGGTCTTTTCTCTCAAATAGCAAGTAATAAGAAGAGGGAATGACCTCAAGTTGCATCAGGGGAGATTTAGATTGGATATTAGGAAATATTTCTTCACTGAACATATTGTCAACCATTGAAAGAGGATACCCAGGTGAGTGGCTGAGTCACCGACCCTGGAGGTATTCGAAATATGTGTAGCTGGAGTGCTTAGGGACATGGTTTAGTTGTGGACTTGGCAGTGCTGTAAGTGGTTGTACTCTGGTCTTAAAGATATTTTCCAACCTAAACAATTCTATGATTCTAAGTACAGCCCTGTAGTTAGATACCTAAAGCCAACTACAAGTAACAGCTTGTTGCTGATAGAAGCTCTATGCTTTGTTTCACTGACAGAAAGAAAAAAAACAAACCAAAAACCAAACCCTCAAAAAATCTAAACCACAAACAAAAAAACAAAACAAACCAAGAAAACAGAATGAAGTTTAGCTTTGCATTTTGCCTCTATTTTTTACCTGAATGGTGACACAAGATTGCTAATAATAAAGATCTGAGATTTCTTATGGCACAGCATACCATAATGGCAAAAGAGAAAAGAGGATAGGTTTACATCATAACAAAGATAGAGTCTGTGTTAGTTTAATCTATTATTTCAGAAGTTTGATTCTGTTCTTACTCTACAGACTAAAGAAAGGGAATAAAAAACCCCCAGTAGACTAGGAAGGCAATATACATTCTGTTTTTTGATACCTGTCTGCAACTTTGGTGAATAATCGTGGGAGGAAATTTGGTTGTGCTGCATGATTACTATTCACTTTTCAACTTCCGTGTGGACTTTATTTGCACAACTTTGTAATAGGCCTAGTAATACAGCACACCAGTAATCTTACATAATTTATACATTATTGAAGTCTAACCCTAAAATATTGACTGTAATAAGCTCATCTCATGTACTTATTTCAGAATATGAATTATGTATATTATTATTTATATTATCAGCAATTTATGTTTCAGAAGTTGAAATAACTGTTTTTGCTGTGTAATACATTCATAGGTTACTTTCTTTGCTAACTTAATGCTTCACAGAATTTACACTAAAAATTAGTTCGTTTTTAAAATCATGATAGAAAAAAGTTGTCTAATAAAATATAAAATAGAAGGCTAAAAACCTAGCAGAAAGAATGAATCCCTAATTCTGAGAAAGAATGGCAAAAATAAGGAAAAAATCATTGAATGTTCACTATAAGGTGTAAAAAGCAACCAAAAATACAAATATAAGTAAATAATGATGCCTGTTAACAAAAAAATAAACCTAAACAAAAGAAAGGACACAAGTACTTTAAGCTACCCAGAAAAGATTTTTCTTTTTTTGGCCTAGAAGACCTGTAAAGCTATACACATCTCAAAAAAAAGAGAAATTAATTTTATATACCTAGAGCTAGTTAGCATCTTACTGCTTGCATGCAAGGCTTTCTCCAGTGAGTTTTCCTTAATACTACCCACTGCTGTCTTTGATAATCCACTTGATCAGAGAAGACCTTTTTCAGCAGTGATTAAGTGTTCCGCAGGAAAGAAAGTGTAAGAAGAAAAAAAAGGGGGGGGGGAAGGAGAAAGAAAGAAACAAAAGAAAAGGAAGAAAAGGAAGCAGGAAAAAATGAAAAAGAAAGAAAGAAAGACTGATTATTGGGATCTTTGCATAGAGTAACACTCACATGGGGAGTCTCGGGATGGTCAGTCACTGTTCAGATTATGATGGGTGCTTGTAACACTGGTTTCATCTTAGAGTCCCCAGATTATTTTTTTGATAAAATTTTATAATCATGTTGGCCTATGTTCCTATGTTGTCAAGGTCCTGAGTGCAGCCCTAGCAGCCTCACCTGCATCCTCCAGCAGTGCATACAGCATACCACCACTCCTGCTTTGCTTGTCTAGATCAGGTGCTGTGTGACTGCACCTGTCCATGATTGTATTGCCCAGGGCCTATGCTAGGGTCACCCTAGGCTCCCAGCTCACCCTGCCTCAGGGAGCAGCTCTTTGATGCTTCTTGACATGATCACTCCAGCACGTTTACGACCTGTTACTTAAACCTCATGCAAAACATCTCCTGCTTACTTAATATATAAAACAGATTGTCATATGTGACCATTTCTGTATCTGCATGAACACTTTATAGTGACTGTTTACAAGAGTCTTATTTACACAAAGGCTGATCAGTTCTGCACAGGAAACATTTTGTGTTTTTGAAAAGGTCAGATTTTTCACCAAGGGTGTCAGTCAACACTTTGAACATACAGACTGGTCTGGACAAAATATTTCACCTGGGAAATTCTTAGGGAGAGTTTGAAATTCTGACCTAGGGAGGTCCTCAGCAAAATAGTCAAATGCTTTGTTGGAAGGATGACTAAGAGTTCCTTGTGGGGAAGCTGTATGAGGAGCGGCTGAGGTCACTTGGTCTGTTCAGCCTGGAGATGAGGAGACTGAGGGGAGACCTCCTTGCAGTCTACAACTTCCTTGTGAGGGTAAGGGGAGAAGCAGCCACTGATCTCTTCTCTGTCTTGACCAATGACAGGACCTGAGGGAATGGCCTGAAGTTGTGTCAGAGGACGTTTAGGTTGGATATTAGAAAAAGGTTCTTTACCCAGAGGGTGGTTGGGCACTGGAACAGGCTCCCCAGGGCAGTGGTCACAGCACCAAGCCTGACAGAGTTCAAGAAGCATTTGGATGATACTCTCAGGCACCTGGTGTGATTCTTGGGGATGGTCCTGTGCAGGGCTAAGAGGGTCCTTGTGGGTCCCTTCCAACTCAGCATATTCTCTGATTCAGTGATAATCTGAGTTCAGTCGATAAACTTCTCTCCAGTCAATCTGTTATCTTACCTATGCAGATAGCTTCACAGGGAATTTTTGGATCACCCCAAAAATTAATGAGTTAAATGCAAAAGCTCAGCACTCCAACCCCCTAGACAGCAGTTATAGCTAAAGGAAAAATTTGAGTCTAACTTGAAAATTATATTTCATAACTTTTCACAGACAAGAGAGAAACTAACAAATGAAGTCCTTTGATGATGCTCTGGACATGAGAATAGCAGAATGATAACAGCTTAACTGTTATCATCTGAATATATCATATATATCTCTGAATATATTTCCTCATTGTAGCTGAAAACAAGACTGGATATACTGAAAAATAAGACAGGAGAATCACTTACCTGCCTAGAAGTTTTCAGATCTGCCAGGACAAGGCTTGCATTGAACAAAAGCTGAAATGACATTTTATTGAGAACAATCCCCCTCAAATAAATTCCATTGTTCCCTATTGCAGGGCATTTTTGGTCATCTTCATTAATATAAAACTTGGCATGAAATTATACTAATATAATCTGTAGTTTTCCATCTTAAAAAAACCCCACCCTCAGCCTTGCAATCCATTGAGTTATTACCACCTATCTATATTTACAATGGCGATATGCACAGTAATGGTTTTGCTTTGAAAAGAAATCATTTGGAGCACATTATTCAGCAACATGAATTCAATCCTATAAATAATTAAAGATAGGCATTTATTATAGGTATGAGTTAATGAGTGTAATATAATTAAAGAGCCTTTGTTTAATCACATATTTAGATGCTAGAAAGTATCTTGCTTCCCAACCACACTCCTGAAAGGTATACACTCAATTTTAATTTTAGTCTTGGAAGCACTTCTCCCAGTAGATTAGTTTTAAATGTCAGTGTTCCAGACTCTAGCCAAATGCA